TTTTAGTCTTGTCGCCCGACAAAAAGAAAGTCAAGTCGCCCGAAGAAACAAATACCTGAAAGATCAGACTTACAGTCTGTAAATAGGCAACAAAGTTGAGAAATATTTATCACTAGAGCGCGACACCATAAAGATTCAAAAAGCGTTGTTCGTTTCTAACAACTAAATGAAGCGTTGTTCGGTTGGTATGTACTCGTTTCGTACTCGCAGACGTTTCCTACGCTTAAAAGACTTTATTTTGGTTTCTAACAATACCATGAAGACTACTATTTCCTCTACTAGGAAGAACCAATAGGAAGAACCAATAGGAAGAACCAATCAAAATGTGTGTATTATTCAACTAAAACTCTTGAATGACAAAACCTCTACTGGACTCTAATGATGATTTCCGATCAGGTTGTCGAAACGTCAGCTACTACAACGGGCAACAGTCCTTTTCAGAACCACTCTCACCCGAACGATCAGACAATAAATCCTGCAAGATCAACGGGCGGTGTCTTTCTGGGGGGTGAAAAGTAACCGGTCCAAGAATAGTTTTGTCTTTTTATTATTCGTTTATTGTTGTCCTGCAGGTTTTAAGTCTTGAATTTGAGGATGATGACGACCTCCTGTTACTAGATGAGACGGTAAGGCGATTTGATCTTACCCGTGTGTATTTATTTGTGTGATCGTCCCTGACACTTCGTAACGCGTCCCTATTATCTTATGTTGCAGTTATTTGTACATTTTCGATCTTAAAATTGGAAGTATGTACAATAAATCTGTGAAATAGTGCTTTCCTTCGAAGACGTTTCATTGTAAAGTTGTTCGTGCTTTTAAAATGTGATATTTATGTACAATCTTTTTATCCATCTTCAGCCAGGTCTATCAAAGTGGATGATCAGTATTCGAGAAAGTGCCAAGTCCCTTTCTGAGGTACACTCTAAACACTGGCTGAACTAGGAACCATTCTTTTGCTGGCTCGGTGGCTAAACTGAGAAACATTTGTTTTGGAAGTAAAATGTGTGTACGAAAAGCAAATTTTTTTTTTCAGCTCAGCCATTTGCTTCTGTCGGACCAGTAAAATTTGTCTCCGGAGAATCCCTGTTTCCCGCGCAGCTGAACTGGCTAGACTGCTTCGGCAACAACAGTTTGCATCAGTTCTTGTTGTATTATGCTATATAATTGAGGCAACGTGTCCAAGCAGATATACTGTTGGAGTTAAGCTTTGATTTCCCACTACAGTGTAGTTTGTTTCATATTTCTGTATTAATATCGTGGCATCCTCTTTTCAGAGTATATTATTTTCGCGTTTCATCTTATTCCTCATCATTGTACACTGGTAAGTGTTTTGCATTATATTATTTTCGACTTTTCTTTTTTAAACAATCAGTGTACGTTTCATATGAAGATCCTTTAGAAATTTAGACTATATGGTGGATTTATATAAGTGCTCTTCCTTTGTGTAACAGTACGGTGTTTTCTTTCACACAGCATTCTGTTTGCTTTTAAATGGAAAGGACAAAATCAGCAGATTGAATTCATAGTACAAGGTTTGTCTTCAGTTACTGTCTAGTTTCTGTTGATTCTATAGTTGCTCTGATTTTTGGTGATGAATAAATCTTACAGTAATGCTAAAAGGGGAAAATGGAGATTAACTTTAAAAAGTCTGGTCGAAGTTTCCAATCGCAGTGTGTTTTAATCCTCATTTTTGCTCGTTTTAGGAAGCATTCCAAGTAATTTCTTTTCTCTTTTGTTTTTTTTAGTATTTAGAGGTGTTATTGTTACAACATTCTTGGTAAGTTTTCGTTTTCTTAGTGTTGGTAATGTAAACGAAAATAAGTAGCTGTGCAGTCTTTGTCATTCATTATTGCACGTCAGAGAAATTTTCAACCTAGTGTCGATAGTAATATACGCTCTTTGATTGGTCCAGAAAACTCGCGCCACTCTCTCAACCAATCAGATGTAAAACTAAAACCAATCATGACTTGGTCGCCCGCGTTTTCCCGCGCTTTGGGTAGGGTTTTTACTTTGAGCTTTCATCGGTTCTTCAAGGTATTTTTCTTTCTACTAATTGGCTGTTTTAATTACTTTGGTTTTACGACACTTGATAAAATTATCACATTTAAAGGGTGCTCAATTCTGTTGTTTAGTTTGAAGGTGGCACACGACTTGTAGCTTTAGGAAGACGAATATTACAACCTCACGAGATCGTGGACCTTTTCTTGGTGAGCAGTACAATGAGTGTTTTGAGATATTTTTTTGCCTTGCCATCTTGACTCCAGCAATTTTCATTTCCTCTTCATTTTGCTCTTTACTCCACCCTCTCTTCCCCAGTGAAGGGATCTCCACCCTTCCCCCCCCCCATACCTTTTTAACTCTCTTCCTTCTTACAGGATTAGCAGCCATGGAACATGTCTTTTTTTATCTTTCAGGTCGTGTTAGCTTTCTGTTCAAACTTTGTTTGGTACACCAACTACCCAGAATTCTTCTGGTTCAGAGATTATGCGACAACAATTTCCAGCCTAGCTGTGTTTTGTCGCCTTCCATTCAACAACAGTCAGCTCAACCAAGCTGTTTCTATCTTCTTTAGGATCGCGCCAGTAATGGTGGATCTTCTGTGTCTTTTAGGAATAATTTTGTAAGTTCAAATCGTTAAATGCCAAGTCTGAAAAGATACTTTCTACCTTCTTTATCTTTTGCAATGTTAAGGTTGATTGGGCCGAGAAAATCGATGAATCAAATTAAACATGATGAAGTTGGAAGTTTCATCTGGTTACGTTGAAGTCAGTCGTCTGCATTGTTTGGATTGCGCTACTTTGCTGAGATTAAGAAACTAGAACAAGTGTTTGATGTGACTTTTACATCAAACACTTGTTCTAGTTTCTTAAGTTAAGGTGTTTGATGTAACTTTTACATCAAACACCTTAACTTTTACTTTGGAACGATTGTTTCAAAGCTTCATTGATATTGTTCAGCTTAGCTTAGCTTCTTTTGCTTAGCTTCGCTTCTTTGTTTTTTGTTTCTGTTTTTTATTATCGTGTGCAGGTTTCTGTTAGCGAGCGTGGGAATGGAGTTGTTTCATGGCGCGAGCGAGACGAGCGAGGGCCACATGTATCTTCCTGCCTGCGGTTTAGGATTCCAAACATTTTGGTAAATTACCATCAGCGAATCATGTCCCACATGATCCAAAATAAAAGTTTGACCATTCCTTTTCAAGTTCTTATGAAAAACTGTACAATTATTGAAATGCCATCTAAGAAATATATACAGCAGCCATCACTCATTTTTAAGTTGAAATGAAATCATGATTTACCAGTAGCAAGGTTAGAAGTCGGAATTGGTTTCATGTTCCGAATTTGCGCCAAGGTTAGAGTGAACTTCATGGCACACCTGATACATTCTATTTGTATAGTTCCTAGTCTTGCGCGTGATTCAACGAAACAGCATGGTGTTCACCAAACCCTCTCTGCCTACTGTTTTTTGTTTCACTTTTACTTTCAAAACTATTGACAGACCTGTGCAAAAGAGGTTCTCCTTTTTTGTTTAGGTGCGCATGTCTAATCTTGTTCCAGATGGTAACCACGAGTAACTGGCATGAAATCATGAACTCGGTATGTTAGAATTTTCTTTCTCGTGCATCTTCGTGGACGGGTAATAGGAAATAGGAGAAGAGCACTAATGGGGGTTGGACGAAGGGTGAGATTGTAAAAAAGAGAGCGCGTAGGTGTGACGTAAGAGCTACGAAGAACAAATAAACTCCATTTCCTTCATTGACCATGATAATCAAGGATGTACTTGTGTGAGGGCGGGACATGGGTCCTGGGTTACATTCTCTCCCCCTCCCCCCAAGGAAATGTTATAAACTAACACGTGCACTTGAGCAATAGAGAACTTCGCTGTCTGTGTTTTACATAGCCTCGTTTAAACACTTGTGGGTTTGGGAGAATCCACTACAGCCACGAACACTTGCAGGTTTGGGACGATTCAATACAGCTACGCCAATCCTTTACTGCGTCTTGGGTTTGCACAGGTTTCGAGAATCCTGCTAACTTACTTGTGTTTAGATAAGGCCACATAGACTGAGGATACGCTCTTTTTGCTGTTATAAAACATTTCTCAAAAATTCGCATAAACCTGAAACGGCATAAACTCATCGCATCGACTAATGTGCCCAGAATTCTAGGTCTTTTTTAAAAGTGGTTGGTGCATATTTGTTCAAAGTTTACGTATTTCTTTCTGTATTTCTTTACTGTATTACCAGGTGATGGAAGCCACTAAATCGAAGTGGACTAGTTTGTATTTTGTTGCGGCCTACATCGTGGTCAACATGGTGATCATGAAGTGAGTGCTGTGTTAAATTCTGCCGTCTTCATCTCTGGTTGTTTGAAAGTGAATCTGTTCTATTATGCCCGGGCTAGGCAGGACAGCCGACGAGCTAGTAAACTGTGAACCAACGCTGTAAAGTTAGCGTCATCCATTTAAACAATAGAGTGTTTCTGTCGAGGAACTATCGGCTGATAGTTGCCCCGCGGAAATTTGATGTTCTTAAAACAAATATGCTAGCTTTAAGAACATCAAATTTCCAAGGGGCAACTATCAGACCGATAGTTCCGAGACATAAACACTCTATTGTTTTTATTGTTCACCACTAAATTTTCTTCCGCGCCTACAGCTTGTCACAAATGTCAATAATTCGCAACCGTACATTGGCTAAATAATACGTTATACCTGTCAGAATTGAAAAGTCACTGTTTTTCCGATCTGCCTAACTTCGTTTGCAAGCTGACCTGTTGATTGATTTCATGAATTTTTGCCCACAGGTTTCAATGAAGCATCAAGCTGTCCACATTATCAGCAGTGTGGCAAGCAGTTTATTCGGCAGAGTGAGGGTAAGAGCTTTATTCTCTGGCGTCTGGCACCGTTTTGTTGCTCTTCCTCGACTTTTACCATGTAAAATGTTTTCATTTTTTGTGATCAGCCTTTGTGATCACTATAATTTTTGTTTTCATGAGGCTTGATCAAAAAGTGCTGAAACGATCAAGTCACAACCTTGAGGAAGAATCAATTTCATGGTTTTTAAAAACAGATCATAATCCCAAACAAGTTTCTTTTTTCCATCTCGGAAATCCAGGCTTTCCCGTGGTTCTCATGCCGTAGTTTCATGATTTCAGTGTGTGTCGCTATTTTGGGCCAACCTTTGATTCTTGACCCTTTACCACAGGCTGACCAAGTTGCAGAGAGAAGACAATCCTTAACAGCAGCGGATGCCTTCAACTTTCAAGTCAGAAGAGGCACAATCAAACGAGGATCAATCATGAAGGTACTGTTGCTCTGTGACTGGTTTAGAAAACTCGTGCCACTTTCTCGACCAATCAGATGCTAGCCTTACGCCAATCGCGACTTGTTCCCTCGCGTTTTCCCGCCCTCCACTCTTCGAACAGCAAGGGACTGTTGCTCTGAGGAAGTGTCCGGACAAATGATCTCGTCGCTCAACGGGAACGGAGAATTTGTCAGTGCAGTATACCCCAGGCCACGGTTGTTCGAAGGATGGATAACGCTATCCACTGAAAAAATCTCAATACAGTGGATAGCGTAGTATCTTTTGTGAACACTTTTTTACTGGATGGTGATTTATCTGTTGGATAGCGTTATCCGACCTTTGAACAACTGTTTCCAATTGAATGCGCAAGATCGCGCCGCAAGGACCAGTGAAATAAAAAATATCCTGTATCTCGCAAGTATTAGTTGCTGTATGTGCGTCGCACTATGATAGGTGCAGTAGCAGGTAAGAAAATTATGAGTGTTTGATACCCTGTTTAATATTTACTGAATTTCTTCCTTTTTTAGCATAGACGAGCGTCCATTGCGGAAAATGACGCCGATGGAGAAAAGAAGGACGTAAGTAAATGTGTGTTATTGAAATGTAATAACTGTAAGTTGAAGGAAACGATAATGGGCAAGCAACTTTGCTGGCGGCTCACATACTTGTTAAAGATTAGTTACCCCAGGAACCTCAGAAACTGCTAAAGGAGATTTTTTTTCGCCCTGGATGCTTACTCACCTGAAAACTGCCGTTCCAGGGGGTTCAGATACTAGCGGTAAATAGTCATCCTAGGGGTTCACATTTTAGAAGATTATTATCGTAAAGGAGCTTAAATGCCAGACGAGACTAACAAGAAAAGCTTTGGAGTTGCGGATAAGATCTTCTAAGAGTAAAACAATGACTTTTTTGTGATGTAGGATGAAGTGTTTGTTCAGGAAGGAATTGTGAAGGAAAAAGGCGACAAGGTACTGAACTGTTTGTCTTTGTGTGTTTGTCCTGTAAAGGAAGGAAGTAGGGCCTCGCCCTGTCTGTGCTGAGAGGTTCATGAGCAGCTTATGTTCAGCTTTTTCTTTGTAATCGCTGCGACCACTAAACGCTTTACCTGATCATGAGCAACGTCTGTGAAGATTCAGTTTACTGCCATCTCAAGTGAATTAGAGGAGATTGCGTCACGAAAAGCGTCTGGATTTTAAAAGTCTATGACCTCCGTATTTCAGAGAGAGCGGGTTCTTAAGATGCGAATGAAGGAAAAGAAGCGAGCGAAGCAGAAAATGGCTAATGCTGAACACAAAGTACGAGTGGCGACAGCGTTCAGAGGAAACAGAGAAACTGATTTGGACTTACAAGTTGGCGACGAAGTTACTGTGCTTGTTAAGGTGAGGCTTGGTGGTGTTTAACTATGTGAGATCCTGTGCATGGACAACTGTACTTGGGTACCCTGTGAACCGTTCTAAGATATCGATGGCAGTTCTCTCCCCACAAAAAAGCTTGTAAAGGAACTTGCGGCAACTCATGGAGAAATGGTGACTTAAGTTTCGTCTTTCCTTTCTCATTTTAGAAAGATGATTGGTGGCAAGGACGATGTAGAAGTAAAGTCGGATGGTTTCCTGGTAAGCTTTGAGTTTTTCACCTAGCCTCGGCAGGGCTCGAAAAATATTTGGATTACACCTTGCCCGTTGGGCAAGTAACCCTTAAGTTTTGCTTGCCCGGGGCACTTCCCTGCTTGCCCAAGTTTTCAAACTAATTAATAATTCATGAACAGAAATTTACCTGGATTTTACCTGGATTTGAGCATCAAAGGGCTAGCTTCGTTTTCGCGGTAGAAATATGCGACTTCTCAGTTTTCACGAACAATTTCTAAAGTTTTAATTAATATATCGCTGTTAATATATCGTGCTAGGCAACAACTTCTGAGCCGTGAGCGCGCGTCACGCAATCAACAAAACAACGCTATAAATAGGCCATTTTACAGTTGTGTACTTAGTTGCCAAGCCTTTGATTCAGAGTGAGGCTGAAGGTGACCTTGTTGTGATAGAGACCTGTATCTACTTAGCATGATAACAAAGTGATTTACAATTGAAAGGCAGCAAGGTTTGTATCATAACAAGGTCAACCCTAGCCTCACTCCCATTCAAAGGCTTGGCAACCAAGCACACAACTGTAAAATGGACTATTGAAATTTTCGTCAAGCTTCATCTAAACACTTGATTACCCTTGGGCCTAGAGCTTACTTTTTCTTCTCAAAATCGTTATCAAAAAGTTAGTCAGCGAACGGCTTGCCCGCTGGGTCCTTGCCCGTCGGGCAAGGAAGGAGAGAAAGTTACTTGCCCGAAGGGAAAATCTACTTGTCCCGGACGACCTGACGGGGGTTTTTTCGAGCCCTACTCGGTTGTTCGTTAGGTGAATAACGCTATCCGCTGGATAAATCTACATCGAGTGGATAGTGCAGTACGTTTTGTTAACAGCTATCCGTTGGATGGCGTTATCCGCCCTTTGAAGAACTGGGCCTTGATGTTTACCTGTTACCTTGTAGTAAACAAGTAAATTAGTCACTTGGCACTAAGTCTGATTGTGTTTATCTCTGGTGTTTGCAGCCACCTGGGTCTGTTTTCTTTTACCAGCATTTTGATAAGGTTTCAAGCTCGTGTTTTTTCCTAATAGCACTCATACCCTGTATTTGGCCATATTTACTGGACAGTCTTGGTCAAAATTTCCTTATGCGAGAAGTTCTGTCTATGGAAACGAGTGAAAAGGCAATCGACGAGTGATCGCGGAGATCAGTTTCCTGAAAGCTGCAGTTTTCTGCTCACTCCCTCTTTTGGCCGTCTCCGCTGACTGAGAGCTTGGGGTGGGCTTGGTCAATGACGCTTATGTCTTTTATCGTATATAGCCTCTCACGTGATCTTAAGAACAGTAAAGGCTGTTCCAGATTATGGAAAACACGGATCAAGGAAATCCACTGCGGGGACCAGTGGGGAAAGCCCCTCCCCCTCCACCATAGGCAATGGGGACGAAAATGCTAACAATAAGGTACACGGATTATGTTTAATGCTTTTATTGCTAAATGGCTTTTATTGATTGGCGTAAAACCAAGGCTAAAGTTATTACAACAGCCAATCAGAAGAAAGGAAATGTCATAAGGAGCAAATGAGATCTCAAAGTGAAAACAATCAAACTGTCTCAAGCGCGGGAAAACGCGTGCGACCAAGTTGTGATTGGTTTTCAGTTTTGCATCTGAATGGTTGAGAGGTCGACGCGAGTTTTCTGGACCAATCACGGAGCGAAGTAAAGCAAAACCGACAAAACTCTGGATTACTTTCGACACTCGATGTATAATTGCTCCAATCATGGGTAGCACATTCTTTAATATAACCTTTAAAAAATTCGCGACAAAGAGGGGTGGTAGCATAGTGATTGGCGCGTTGAACTCTGGGTAGAGAATAACCAGTTTGAGCCCTGCGTGGGTCATTGTTTTGTGTTCCTGGATAAGACACTTGGTGCCGTTTATTTAAAAAAAGTTTAAACAAAACCGCGTTCTAAGCCATCTTCAATTTAGCCGAAACTTTTATCTGAACATTTATTTTTATGATCATGAGAGCCGAAAGTAAGTAATGAAAGGACATTTATTTGATTAGATCAACTCTCAAAAGAGAATCACTGAGGCCCGCTTCTTGCGTAAAACTGCGGTTTGAGTTAGACCTCATGTAAATGACAATTACTCGTAATTTTCACAATTACAGGTACAAGATCTTGTCACGGAAAAAAGCTCGTCTTCTTTGGGTCGAAAAGAAAACACTTTCTTTCGTGAAAGATCCTCCACATCAGGCAGCCAAGTGCCGTAAGTAGAACACGCTTTGAAAAGTCTTTAAACCCCAGAGCACCCGAGATTAGACTGTTAATTCTCCCGTCTAGCTGCAACACATTTACTTATAGATCAGTAAGGAGAATTTGGTGTTAGATCAAGATAAAAACCTCTACCTGATAAGTTTGAGTATTCTCATGAATACTGAATAATGCTGTCATTTGATTTGGTTATTTTTTTTTCAGTAGTACACCGCCAGCTGTGAGAGGCCGGGTAGGTACCGTTTTGTGTATTGTTCGAACAATACCTTTACCTTCACAGCTGTTAATCTAAGACCCTTTTTGTCACTCTTAGGTGAAACTGAAAAAAACTGGTGACTGGAGAAGGGAAATTCTTGGGGACATGACTGTGATGAACGCAGAGGAGGTAGCGTATTGGGTGTATTTGATTTTAATTCTGTTTCAAAGCTACTCGATCCTTTTTCTCCGCCAAGAGTCCCCAAACCTCGCCAAAGTTCTGCACGTTTCTAAGCTTGTCTCACCTTGTTCCATAAGCGTGGAATATGAATTTTAAAATCTTTCCATAGGAGATTGAAATTTGAAAAAATCCGAAATCGGGCATAACAACAATAACAAATGTAACTGTTCGTTTAAACCCTGCATTTACATTTTTATACATTAATAACTAAAATAAATACAGATAGTGCTTGTCGCCCCAAGTTAGCACAAGGGGCTTGATGGAACCGTCTAGAATCAGCCGAAGCCACCCGAAATTGGACAGAACTGTCCGAATTGAGAGGGAATTGTCGAGGTTTGATGGAAACGTCCGAAATCGGATGAAATCGCCCAAAATTAGACGGAGTCACCCGAAATTGGAAAAAACTGTCCGAATGAGAGGGAGGCGTTCAAGTTTGACGGAACCGCCCAAAATTGTCCCAAGTTAGGCGGAGCCACCCTAAATCAGGGAAATGTCCCTATGAGACGATATTTTCTGTAATCGTCCAAAATTAGACGGACCTCTCCAATATCAGGTGGAACCGTGCAAATTGAGGCTGCACCGTTCAAAATCGGACGAATCCGTAAGCGATCGCCAATTTTAACAAACTTTGTACATATTGAAAGAGTAGTGCATAACACTATTATTGATTTAGTAACTCTTCTTTGTGCTGTCTTCCAGTTACGGGAATTGAATAGCATTATGAGAGCGGAGCTTAGAACGCCGACAGGACTTCGTTCAAAGAGACTGGTAAATTACTTTCATTAAATATCTTTCATTTCAACTTGTGTAGTATAGCTAATTTTCAACTGGATGCCTAAGGTGATGCAGAATTTCGCTGGTTTTGCTACACCTCGCCCTATGATTGGTTCAGAAAATTCGCACCAATTGTTTAACCAATCAGATGCAGAACTGAAAGCAATCGCGACTTGGTGACCTGCATTTTCCCGCTCTTTAGACAGTTTTCTTGCTCTTACTTTGATTTTTCGCTGGCTCCTTGTAATACTCTTTGATTTTGGTTTAACTGCACTCTAAGTGCACACAAGAAAAATTTCTAATTGTCATATGTAAGCTACATCAAGGTTTGTAGATCTATAGCCAGCAGAGCAGGCGTAATTTCGGCGATTGAGTGGTCATTGTTTTCTAAGCGAAAAATATTGGCCGTCAGCGGTAGGCTGGGGAGAGAGAGAAATTTGTACCAAGGGGTGAGCGACAGTAAAAAAATTAAAGAGGGGGATAAGGTTGGGGGAGTGAATATCATTATTATTATTATTATTATTACTATTATTATTATTATTATTGTTGTTGTTGTTGTTGTTGTTGTTGTTGTTGTTGTCGTCTTTTTGCCCCTTCCCGCCCCTCCCCTACCGTCGACTAACTCCAAATTAGACATTTCCGGTTGAATAGACGATCGTGCACTTCTTTTAACTTGCCCTAAAAAGACGCCTGCACCGCAAGCTATTAGATCTACAAAAGTTTTTTTTTTCAGGTTTGTTATTTCCAATCCGATATTCCTCTCCAACCTTGGCCATCCCTGCTCCCTTATAACATATTCCTGCTCCCTTGATGTTCCCCCACTCCATCAACTCTTTCACTCCCGAGATCTAAGTACCAATTCTTCTCACTGTCTACCATACGTTTCTTATAAATATGATCTGAGAATTTGGTGATCAATCAAGCAGCATCTTTAGGTTGATATATGTCTTGTTCTTATTACCTTTCTTCTTGACAATTTATTGATATTTTAAGGGGAAATTATTTATTGGTCAGCCCCATGGAGTGAAAGGTATTTTGGGAACTGTTAACGATGAGTATTACTTTTGATGCTTGCTATGGTGGTATTTTTCTTTCAGGGTCCACTAAGATTGAGCGGAGACGATGACTCTATGAGGTTTGGTCTGAATAATGTGTTTTGTTGTCTGTCATCTTTGTTACTCTTTACTGATCGGGTCGTTCACACTTTAACTCCAAAGATCTGACTGTTAATTCTCAACTCTAGCTGCTGCACATTTTCTTGTTGATTAGTTACGAGAATTTGTTAGATCTAGATAACAATTTCTACCTGATAAGTTTGAGTATTCTCATTACCTGTTTGCTGGATAATGTATGGATATTTTAGGGAGAAGTTACATGTTAATCACTTCCAGGAGTTAGAGGGTTAAAGATTAATTTGCAATTTCTTTTCCTTCATTTTCCAACTAGGGAATGTGCCATTATTGAAGACCATGAGCTGGGGGATATTAACCAAGGTGAGAACGTGTATCGTTGAAACTTGAGTGATGTAACATCTGGATAGGGTTGGAATCCTCTTAATGGAATGCAGAAGTGGTTATAGGGCAAGGGAGAGGGCAGGAGTCCTCCACATTATTGGATTTAACAATAAATTCTAAAGCAGTTTGAATGATATTAAATATATGACAGACAGAGTGGGGAATTCTTCTTCAGGACCCAGTTGTTCCAAGGCCGATTAGCGGTAACCCAGGATTAAAATTTTATCCAGATTTCTTTATTTCTTTGTGCAAAAGCCTTTATACATTTTATACATTTTCAGTTGCGAACAAATCTTCGATCAATTTTTCAAACACATCGTTTTTATTTTTGGGCTTTTCTTTTTCAGGTCGACCAAACAGTGCTCTGGATCCCAGGCCCTACTCTGCGCGATATTTAGGCAGGTCTAGTAGTCCACGGTTTAGTCAGAATTCAGTTGGTCCTTTGAACAGATTACGAACCGAGAGTGGAAGTAGCAGTGAGCGGTCGCCATCATCAGCAAAGATACCTACGGTAGAGGTACGTGTTAGCTCAGGGAATTAACTTATTAACCCTTTAACTATTAAGATCTGGTTGTTAATTCTATGCTCTAGCTGCTACACATTTCCTTATAAATTAGTCATTTTTAGAGAATTTGGTGTTCGATCAAGATAACAACTTCTACCTGATAAGTTTGAGTATCCTCATTACCTGTTTGCTGGATAATTTATGGATATTATAGGGAGAAGTCAGATGCTAATCATTTCAGGGAGTTATAGAGCTAATGCTCATTCGTGATGAATAATAGGAGAGATTTTCTCATGTAACTTTTTATGCATTTCCTTTTGATTTTTTGTTTTGTTTCTGTTTTTGTTTTTAGTTTTTCAGTCCCGGTACCCCGACCCCACCCTCCACAACCACAGAGCAACTCACGTCCTCGTCAGCAAATAGTGCCAGGCTCTCTTCCAGCCCAAAATTGTCACCGAAGGAAAAGAGACCTGCGGAGAAACCGAAAAATGGCGAGATGCCAGAGTGGATGAAAAATTTTGTCGAAACAAACAATTTAATTGTCGGTCAAGATATCAAGCTGGATGACTCAAAAGCCGCGGGAAGACGGCGCTCGTCAACTTCTCCATCCGGCACAGGAACTACAAAATCTGGAACTAAAACTAAAACGGGAAGTAAATCCTCCGGATCGGGATCACCGAGGGGTTCTGGAGGTACTAGCGGGACAAAATCCCGCACGTCTCCTGGTGTTCCTAAGAAAGGAGGGACAAGTCTCGTTGGATCCCGAAGTTCCGGAGGAAGGCCTGTCACACCGGGTAAAGCAGCTAATAGGCAATCCCTGTCTTAATGCTTATTTTAATTAGAAGATAGAGATCGTCGCTGAATGAGATTAGCTGGTCACGCTACGTTTTTGCGTGACATAAAAGATTAAAACGAGGGTGACCTTCTCCTGGTCACACAATTGCAACCGTCGTGGAGAAAAGGGGAGGTTCAAATTTATGTCATGCCCAGGAGTTTTTCCGTTCAATCCTACTAAGGATGTTTAAGCGTATTCCTCAGGGGTGGGGCAAGAATCACCGTTCGCACTATGTCTGTGGTGAGCTACTAGTCGGGAGGACTCTCTCCAGTCCCCTCCTAAAGAGAGAAAAACTCGTCCAAGTTACTGTAACGTACATAAGATAACTTATTTCTCTATTTTGTAGATTTATTTCATGTAGTTAGTCAAGTACAGTCTAGCTTTTTCTTCTAAAGTATTTGATATTAAAAGAATTATAAGAACACTGTTTCATCTTTGTATTTCTCTCCTAATCTCGTGCCCAGATCCCACCTTGTAACTGTAACTGGCAACTGCTTGGCCGTGGAAGGTCTAGTTACGGGACTTTCCCCCCCCCTTTATCTTTGCATGAACTTTTCATCGTCTGCCACACACCCCCCACATTGAAACTTTGTGTATTCTTTCTTTTTCTAATGGAAACGTCTTGTGCGCTGTCTTTAGTGTTCAATTGTTTTTGTGCTTTTTTTTTTTTCTTACATAGTAGGTTTTGGTTTTCTGTGCTTTTAATTCCCTGCCTTTTTTTAGCGCTTTCTATTTGGCTTTCCATGCAACCCCACCACTCGTTTCTCTGAAAACACTTCTTTTGTGCGTGACCCTGTCATCCTTTTAAATTTCTCCAGTTGGGATGTTCATGCTATCATACACATGGGCCAAAATGGATATTTTCCTGACAACTCTTGTGGGCTGAGGGAATGCCCTCCGAATATTGAAACAATAGAATTTAGTTAAAAAGAAAAAGGGTTGAGCAAGGGTAAGGGTTATGCAGTGGTCCATGAAAGCTCATTACCAAATTTCTATTATTGCAATATTCATGCGTTTCTTTCTCAGTGAAATGGGGAAATTCCTGACAATATATGGCTCGTTACAAAGAGTGTGATTCGTTGTGTATTGTATGCAAGTCCATAAGCTACGACTCTTGTGCGCTGAGAAAATCGTCTCTGAATATTAAAACAATCGAAATTCTTTAATGAGTTTTTGGTTAATCTGGAAGACCCACTAACTAAAACGAGCTTTCAACTCGAAAAAAGGGAATTCCTGCACAATTTATAGCTCGTTAAGAGCGTGATTAGCTGTGTATTGTATGCGGATGTCAAAGCTACAGATCTTTTATGGGCCAAGACTTGTTGATTAGTTACGAGAATTTGTTAGATCTAGATAACAATTTCTACCTGATAAGTTTGAGTATTCTCATTACCTGTTTGCTGGATAATGTATGGATAGTTTAGGGAGAAGTTACATGTTAATCACTTCCAGGAGTTAGAGGGTTAAAGATTAATTTGCAATTTCTTTTCCTTCATTTTCCAACTAGGGAATGTGCCATTAGTGAAGACCATGAGCTCGCGGATATTAACCAAGGTGAGAACGTGTATCGTTAAAACTTGAGTGATGTAACATCTGGATAGGGTTGGAATACTCTTAATGGAATGCAGAAGTGGTTATAGGGCAAGGGAGAGGGCAGGAGTCCTCCACATTGTTGGATTTAACAATAAATTCTAAAGAAGTTTGAATTATATTAAATATATGACAGACAGAGGGGGGAATTCTTCTTCAGGACCCAGTTGTTCCAAGGCCGATTAGCGGTAACCCAGG